CGGAGTTCAATAACTTGACGTCTTTGTCTGTTGTAATACACCGAAACCATTAGTGTCCGTCTTTTCTCTATCTTCGTCTCTAGAATATTTATAAATTTCGTCTACAGGTTCTTTGGGGTTGACGGGGTAAGTCTTTTACAAGGTCAATAGTTGGGATTCGGCGCTATGTTTTCTTTTTGACGTCTTTTACCACAAAATTGTCTAGATAAAAAAATACAAACCAAAAAAATAGATTAAAAACTGGGTCCGACTTCCAATAGCAAGGACCCTTCCAGTGACTTTCCGATTGACTCGTTGTTTACCGACTTTGAACTATTTGGATTGGTTGCAATCTTTTACCCTACCGTTAGAGTAATCAACCTAGCTACGTAGATGTCTCTATCCAGGTCTATACAAATCGTTTCGTGTTTCTGAGCTCCGTCCATCTGTGTTCAACAACGCTAGACCTGATACTAGATACACAGTGAGAGAGGAGAAATGGCCAGTTTCTAGAGTTCGGCAGCTACAGCTCTTGAGGCTACCTTCTGACGCTCCGTCTCGCCACATATTCCTGTACGAATTACCGCGGGGTGGTTGGTGAATGTTGTATGCCAGTATCCAACCGAAACCGGTCCCGACGGTGACGTATCATCTGGATGTGTTTTTTCGTTACTCTTTTCAGTTACTATACTTTTTTATTTAGTTAAAAGTACAGGTTATGGATAATTATATCATGTCCTTCTCTCGTGTTATCTGCATATAAAACTAACTGTGGACAAGATGTCCAGACGGGAAATTGCTACATGAGCACAGGTTGAAACTGCGCCCCAAAGTCGTCCGGAAAGTCGTCGAGTCGTCTCGACTACGGGTAGTCTATCCCGACGAAATAGGTGTGGAATTGTGTGTGTGTGTGTGTGTGTATAGTAGAGTAGGACGGTAATCAATGGGTAATTACGTATTTACTGCATAGTTTTTCGTTTATTAACCGACCGACTTTAGTCATTGTCCAAAAGGATTAGTAAACTTAACTATAGACAGATATAGACTCAGATTTTATCATTGAATTGACAATGTTTAAGGAGGTTATAGACCGTGCGTTTCTCTAGGTCTCGTGTAAACTTGAACATAACGAATAACAAAAATTTACAATTAGAATACGAAAGAAACATTAGTAAATCAAATGAATTAAACTTCTACATGAAAAGATTTGTTTCTATGAAACGGAACAACTATATAGTCGAAAGAGAATAGTATTTTAATAACAACATAGAAACACTTTTACTGTCCAAAAGTATGAAATGATCGTAATCGACCTCAATATAAGACTATAAGTGTTACCACACTTGCACACAGAATGAGAGCCACCGGCAGCCGTAGCCGGACGAGGAGAGAGCCGGAGAAGAACTTGAAGTACAAAGGTTTCACGTACTACCGAGGTTGCCAGAAATATCCGTCGGCAGTGAAGGAGGAAGGCCTCACTTTGGCGTCGCACAGGTACCGCACCGACTGTGTGTGTACTCCAATATCATCTCTTGTCGTCTCCACCCTTCATCACCTCATTGGTTATGCAGTGATCACAATGAATTCCATGTAAAACAATACCATAGTCATGACACGAGGTGATGAATAAAAAGATACTGAAAAATGAAAATGAAGAATGAAAAATTGTGTTTGTGGACATGACGAAGATGAAGAATGTAAACTTGTGTTTATGGACATGAAAGATGAAAATGTAAAAGGTTTGCCGACCAAGGAAATCACCCCTTAACTTAGACCACAAAACACCGTTGCACTTAGTAATAAGTAAATCTCACGTAACTGCACCGAATAACTAAACTTGTTGCTAGGCACATAGAGGTAGTTAAATGTGTGACCAGAAGAAGATTCGCTCTTCTCCCTGGTTACTTTTGCAACAAGTACACACGGCAACCAAGTCTGTCCTTCTGTATAGTAATCGGGATTGTTACCTGTGGTAATAAACAAAGATTAAATTATATTTCTCCTCCGAGTCCTGAGAAATTTGTGTCGACCGATCATATACCTCCATTGTGAAGTAAATGACTCCATGTAAAGTTTCGGCGGAGGAAATGAAAATGAACTCATTTCTTCGTCATATCAGTCGATTTAAGATGAAAGTGTGTCTTCATAAAAATTTGTGCTATAGACATACATGAAGGATGAACCATGCATTCCTTTAAACACACACACACACCACACACACACCACACACACAACACATACACACACACACACATCACACACACAACACACACACTTACACACACAATCACACACACACAACACACACCAACACATCGAAGTGCTCAAGGACTCCACACCAAAGAATGTAGTCACCCTCAAAGCTAGGATGAGGTAGCAGTTACGGAGGATGACACCAGTGTGGGACCGACTGTCTTCCATAGACCGCAAGCACCACGGTCGACGTACAGACTTTGTGTCACTGTTTAATAATAGATCGTACTTATTATAGAGAATCCGATACGTCCTATGTCGTCTCTCATCTGTCCAATATTACGTAGTCACATTTCAGTATAGTAACCGTATGTACGGGTGACTATAACTAACTACCTTTGCGAACGCGGATATGATCAAGACCAGTATGGCTAACCTCGTCCTTACCATCACGTACACATCTCGACGAGAGAAGACTTGACGACTTGTGTTGAGACCTGAAAACGTTCTTCTAGATTGCTGTGTGTGTTTTATGATGAATGGGAGCTGTTAACGGGTGATTATTCGAGATACAGACTGTACTATCGAGAGAACTCACATTGTGCCATTGTATAGTGACGTATCACATTCCCTGTTGTGATATAACCGTATGGGGAGCGGTGACTTAGTTGGTAGAGCTTGTAACTACACCTTAGAATTATGGATACTATCAAGACTCTAATAGGTCTAACCTGTCCTAGATCTCATCGTATCTTAGCACTCAGGCGTTAACAGTAGAGATAGCACTGCTTGACGAACCTTGTTGTGGTGAGACCTGAAGAAGGTCTTCTAGAATTGCTTGTAGTTGTGTTTATTTTATGTGGTAATGATGTTGTGGCTTTTTTTTTACTTGCACCTGACACGGTTCGGATGATTAACTTTTATTTGTTCATTATTTCTTGATTACCTATTGAGTAAAGATGTGACCCGGTTATTATTTACCGTTTAGTGTGCAAGTTTCATATCACACTTGTATTTTTTTACATTGTTATTGGAAATAGTAATTAGTCTTGACAGTCAAAGTTCGTTCGATTCACTGTCCATTCCCTTAGACTAGTTTAGGATGAGTGTCTACAATCTACACGTCGTACTAGCTGGTCAGAAAGGGCAGCTCAGGTTTTATTTACTTAAAGAGCTTACTTGAAAGGGATCTTCTTGCTTGTTTTGTGCTTATGTTTTTTTTTTTGTCAGTAAACAGTGGTGTTTGCAGGGGAGTCTGGAAGAGTTCCTTGGAGGTCCTAGGTGGTTTTTGGAAATTCTTATGAACTTTGAGTGTTTCTGGTTCTCATCAACAGCAACGGCTATATACCAAAGACCGCTATTGTTGCCTGGAGTTGGTACCGCCTACTCCTATACTGTGAAGTTACTAGACCAGGAGATTCTGGGGATCCTGTTGATCTCTCTCTTCGATATATAGTGGACGTTGAATTTAACTCCTTTTGTGTTGAATGTAGAAAATTTATTTGTAATTCAAATGTCTATTTCAACTTTAGGATGAGGATAAAAAGTCTAAAAGAGGGTCTCGTCGTTGCTCCGTTCATACTTAGTGGGAGAACCACACTGACAAAAGCAACTACACCAACGAGAAGCTGCAGCAGTATTTCAACCACCACATGTTCATCATGGAGCAGGAGGAGTACAAGATGGAGGGCATCGAGTGGACCTTCATAGACTTCGGTTTGGACCTACAGGCCTGCATTGACCTCATAGAACGGGTGTGTCTGTGTGTTTTTGCTTGAATTACTTAATTTCTTTTTAAATTGGAAGTATTTGACATCATAGGGGTAGGTTTTATTCGATGGGCGAGGTATAAGATAAGTCAGATCACAGTGAATGATTCTGCATGGTCACAAATACAATCACATGTTAATGAGGATATTTTTCAGCCCATGGGTATTCTTTCCATCTTGGAGGAGGAGTGTATGTTCCCCAAGGCCACGGACAACAGCTTCAAAACCAAACTGTACGACAACCATCACGGGAAGTCGCCCAACTTCCTGCGTCCGCGGCCGGACAAGAAGCGCAAATATGAGTGCCACTTTGAGGTTGTCCATTATGCTGGAGTGGTGAGTATTTTCTATTGTTCTTCATCCTGTTAGAGGTACTTTGCTTAGTAAGGCACCAATTAGAACTGGCCAACTGGTTTCCATCTCGCTGAGAACATTTTTTAAATATATGGACATTTAGTAAGTTTCACTGGTTATAATGAAAGTGTCAAAACATTTTCAAGGTATTTTTAAGACACAAGAACTTTTATTGTACCATAACCACACTTGTGATTCTGGTATTAGGGATTCAAAATAAGTACTTTGGTAGCAAAACAATTTATTGTGTTTTATCTCAAAAACTCGGCAAATTAGATGATTGCTTATTTTGGACCTAACTCAGTCGTTATGTAAACCTTTAAAACATCTGCAATAATATAATAAGAAAAATGTTGGATTACTTAAAATGTAGCTAATGGGAGCATGTAAATCCTGAAAAGAATAGGCCCAAGGACAGAGCCTTGGGGAACTCCTTATTTTTGTTTGCTTAGACGCGAACTGATTGACACAAAGGAGACTATTGAATATAATTAAGAGGATTCACATAGAAGCCCCTGTAGGGAGTTATATCACATTGGAGAATTCTATAAAATAATCAATATATTATCAAAATTGATCTGTATTTGTATTTCCCACAGGTTCCATACAATATCACAGGATGGCTGGATAAGAACAGAGATCCTCTGAATGAGACGGTTGTGAGTCTGTTCATGAAATCCTCCCACAAACTAATGGCTGGACTGTTTGGGGATTACATCAGCTCTGACATGGGTAACTACACTTCATAGATAAACAAACTGAACAACAGACTCCAAGCAATCCAAACAAGAGCAGAACTGCACACTTAAAGGAAAGAGATATAAGAAATACAGGTGAACATGGTGTAACTGTGTACGTTGTAAACAGGTATAATTCTTTCTGTTGTTTCAGCTGGAGAACCAAATGCTGAAGGCAAACACAAGAAAAGGAGAGCAGCTTCCTTCCAAACGGTTTCACAGCTCAACAAGGTGAGTTGACTGTTGATCAGACCTGCGGGAAGGCAAAACAGAATCATGTACTTACATAAAATAAACAGACAAAATACATAGTGTCTATGTTTTAAAAACACAGCCTTAATCATAATTGAATAACTGTTGATCACAAAGTTTGGTTTTGGCGCTTGCTGCCATACTTGTCATTCCGAGAAAGGGGATGCGGCTTACGTGCAATTATAAAAGCAGCATCGACATCGACTTACTGTTGCAGCTTGAGACTCTTCACATACAGGATAGATGTTCTCCAACTGTTTGTTTGTGTGTTTAAATGCAGGAGAATCTAAAGAAGCTGATGGCCAACCTCCGCAACACTCAGCCTCACTTTGTGCGCTGCATCATCCCCAACAACTCCAAGAGTCCAGGTAACCAAACAACAGCAGCAAAACTAAAAGTTACTGCCACACATTTACAGTAAAAGTAACCTAGCATCAATGTTTCCCATTCTGTGAAAGCACTTCAGATAGAATCTTATTTTTGGCACAGTCAATTAAAGGTCCCCTATTATACTGTTTTTCATCAATATATTATAGGTCTCAGATATATACAAACATGTCTCTGAAGTGTTTGTCTGAAACACCAAACAGATCATTGCAGCATTACCCATAATCCCCTCTGTTTCAGCCCTGTTTCAAAAGTGCTGATTCTCTGTCTGTTACTTTAGATGAAAATAAGGAGCCCCTCCCCACACCCCTCTGTGAGATATTTGGTTAAAAAGAACTCAATGGAGCTCTAGGAGGAAATTCAGGTGATAAGGGGGTACCTTGGTTGGTGATTGGCTAATGGTGACACAAGACAAAACATCGTTATGACATCATAAAGTGACCAAAATCTGATCAGCTCATTTTCAGACAGGTTTTTATATAAATGGATCAGGACAAAAAGAGAGAGAATTTTTTTCTTTTGCTGAAACTTCTAGAGTCTCTTTCCACAGAGGGGACACATGTTGATGTATAACAGACATGAAAAAAGAGGATTTTGCATAATAGGTCACCTTTAAGATCTTTCAAAAATCCTTATCTGTTCTCCAGGTTTGATGGATCCTTTCCTGGTCCTCCACCAACTGAGGTGTAATGGAGTCCTCGAGGGGATCAGGATCTGCAGGAAGGGCTTCCCAAACCGCATCCTGTATGCTGAGTTCAAACAACGGTCAGTCCCAAACCTAACCACACAGGTTTACATTTCCGTTGTTTTACTGATCAGTTTTGTCTTTTAAGTCATCAGGGTTTTCCCTCTGTAAGTACTTTCGAGACTGCTTCTCATAAATAACCCATTTATACTTTTCTTTCTCAGTTACCGCATCCTCAATCCTAATGCAATTCCGGAGGACTCGTTTGTGGACAGCAGAAAGGCTGTGGAGAAACTGCTTGGTTCTCTAGACATTGACCACAGCCAGTACAAGTTCGGACACACTAAGGTACAGCACTGTGAATAATACAACAGCACAAATACTGTGATTAATACAACAGCAAACATTATGGTAACACTTTATATTAAGGTATACAAATTCACCATCAACTAGTTGTTAATTAACATGCATATTAGCAGTATGTTGGCTCTTTATTCGTCATTATAAAACTCTTATTAATGCCTTATTCTACATGACCATATTCGACAAGTAATAAGCCATTAGTTGAGAGTTTTTCCTCAATAACCCTCTAATTAGTGCTTATTTATTGCAAGTAAGGAAGTTGTTGTACATGAGTTTTGGTCTTAATATGCTCTGCTCAATATGGGCCTAATAAGGCAGTAGTACCACAAGAATAGTAATTCTCCCATAATAACACTTAACCAATATTATCTATTCCTCTGTAACAAGACATTAAACTATAAGTTTTAATTGTCTCTAAATAACTCGGTTAGGTATGTATGTGCGCATCACTCTCACTCCTCAATGGTAACGTGTATGTGGATTTAGAAACTTCCCCTTCGATCCTATTGGCTCTAACGGTTCAAAACAGGTGTCAATCATCAAAATCGACCGAGGGGGGCCAGAGATATGGTAAATCCACCCAAATGTCCCCAGGAGTGTTTTTGTTGTTGTTGCTAAATCTCTCTAAAAAGGTCAAATGTCACTTGTTTTGCATCAATCTTGATACAGGGTA